ATTTCTGAAGAAGGGTCTAGGCCCGAAACGTCAGCTTTCCTGCTCCTCTAATGCTGCTTGGGGCCTGCTGTGTTCACCCAGCTCTACACCTTGTTATCTTGGCAAGAAGTTTGCCAGGCTTAAAAGCAGACATAGCCATGTTAGTGCTGCAGTGCCCAGCGTGTTAACAAGGTAAAGAATTACTGCCAGCAGCTCCCCATATCTATAGGAATGGCCGGGTAAACCTTGGAGTCAGTTGTATGTTGACTGTGCATGTCCTTTCATGGGTTCAATATTCTTTCTCCTTGTAGACACCCACTCAAAGTGGTTGGACGTGCAGAGGGTTCATTTGTCAAACACTGGGACAATGATAGAAAAACGGTGTGCATCTTTTCTAACACCCGGAGGCCTGGAAGTGTTGGTCACAGATAATGGGCCATCGTTTACCAGCAGGAAATTTGCTTATTTCTTCAAGGTAGATGGGATTCAATATTTAAGGACAGCTCCATGCCACCCATTGTCCAATGCCCTGGCAGAAAGATCAGTCCAAAGTTTGAAGGCTGGATTGAGAAAACAGCCTCCAGCCTCACTAGATATATAGCTGTCATGGTTCTTATTTGATTATAGGACCACCTGCATGCAACTACCATTATAGGTCCAGCAGAATTGCTAATGGGTAAAAGATTCTGCACCAGAGGGGAGGGTGAAATGCCTCAGAAACATCAATGCTAAACCCAAGACTCTTTCATGTGAGAGAGACAGTTGGGTACAGGGGATGAAGTTTGGTATAAAAATCATGGAAATGGCCCTGCATGGATAAGAGGCATGGTCAACGTGAGATCAGGACCAGTGATGTATTACGTTTGGGTACGTGTGATGGTCCTAAATAAGCATATGAACCAAATGAAAGCCATGAATTCTGAAATGGTGTGGGAGCAAAATGTGCCCTGCCCCTTGGAACACTCCGAAATGCTGCCAGAACCTTGGATTCACCCAATCTGTCAAATGTTTTCTCGTCTTCTGAATCAAAGATGGATGTGACTGATGTAGCTACCTTGACGCCTTTGCCACTGGAAGAAGAGAGTGAAATTCTACTGAGGCACTCCTGATGTAAGAGGCGAGCATTACATGCCGCCCATGTCAGACACTGAGTCAGAGGATTGGTGCTAAAATGGTCCAAGAGGCTCTTCAAGAAAAAGGCCCAGCCAATGGCAGTGGACTCAGAGGAGAAGGGATGTGGTGACTGTAACAAGTCAGCCAGCTGCAAATAACGGTTGACTTGATGACAGGATACTGGCCTCTGTGGAGTTATGTCAGCCTCAATTTTTGAAATTGGGATTTTTTTGAATAATTATAATAATTATTGCACACTTTAGATACAAGGTAACATAGGAGCAGGAATCAGCTATTGAGCCTGCCCTGCCATTCAGTATGATCATGGCTGATCATTCACTTCAACTCCTTTCTCCCCCTGCACAGTATCCCCCATATCCCTTTATGTCATGTGACTCAGAAATCTATCCATTAAACATGTCCAAGTACTGAACTTCCATCGTCTTTTATGGTAGAGAATTCTGAAGATTCACAACCTTGTGGATATAATTAATATTCCCTGGTTTTGTACTGTAGGAGAAACATCTTACCCACTCCTATCCTTTTATGTATTCTTTAGTTCTCAATATTTTCAATTGCATTCTTTGAAAATCTAGCGATTAAGGGCCCTCTGTTGCTTTCTCAATTGTTCTTCAGTGGATGCTTTTGGTATTCTGGGAACAAGTCTGGTAAGCCTTGTTTCACACCCTGAATAGCAACAAGACCCTTAATCAGGGAAGGGAGCCAAATTTGTATATGGTACTCCAAGTTCAATGTAACCAAGGTTCAACTGAAGCAAAACTTTGCTACTCCTGTAGCTCAAATCCCCTTGTGACAAATGCTGATATAGTCATCAACCTTCCTAACTACTTTCTGCTCCTCTGTGTTAGCCTTCAGTCACATGTTGATGAGGACACCCAGGTCCCTTTTATACATCAACACTTTCTGATCTTTTACCATTTAAGAAATAATCTGCACAAATGTTCCTTCTACTAACATGGATACACTCACATTGTTTCACATGACTTTCCATCTGCCATGTTTCTGTCCAATTACGAAGTCTGTCAAATTTTTTTGAAGTCACTTTATAACTAATAGCAATTGTTC